ATGTATGCATTCATATAAAGTATAACCAATGGACATGGACAGTAGGGAGGTGAGGGCCTGTGCTGGGGGGTGGGAGTGGGCTGAGAGAAGCCAATGGGGGAAAAGGAGACATCTTATCTAATAAAAGAGTCATACGCATACCTCCACTACACCCACAAGAAACACCTACTTGCCAATCAGGAGTGAGTATGCAAATCAAACCAACCAAGATGGCTGTGGCCATGGAGTGAGCAGGAAGCTTGGATTTCCCCAGCAATGGAGGAAGCCAAGCTTTCTGCACACCCTGGAGGGTCCTGGACTCCACTCAAGGCTACAAAGTTTCAATTATAGAAGATAAATAAATCCCAACAAAAATGGCTGCAGCCACTGAGCAATCAGGAGGCTTGGTTCTGCTCAAGGCTACAAAGTTTCAATTATAGAAGATAAATAAATCCCAGACACCAGGGCCTTCGCTTGGATCACTGGGGGATGTGGACGGCCAGCAAACCACCACAGGCCCCTTGCCCAGGCCACCCCATATCCCAAGGGAACCCCCACCCTGATCTAGGACACCCTTCAGGGCAAACCAGCTGGTCCCCACCCATGCACCAGGCCTCTATCCTATCTAATAAAAGAGTAATATGCAGATTGACCATCACTCCAACACATAAGATGGCTGCCCCCATGTGGTCAAAGATGGCTGCTACCATGTGGACACAAGATGGCTGCCACATGATGGCCAGCAGGGAAGGGCAGTTGGGAGGGACCCAGGCCTACAGGGGAGAGCAGTTGGGGGGAGGGCAGTTAGGGGTGACCAGGCCTTCAGGGGAGGACAGTTAGGGGCTGGCAGGGTAGCAGTTAGGCATCAATCAGGCTGGCAGGTGCGCAGTCAAACATCACTCAGGCTGGCAGGGGAGTAGTTAGGGGGTGATCAGGCTGGCAGGCAGAAGCAGTTAGGGGCAATTAGGAAGGCAGACAGGCGAGCAGTTTGGAGCCAGCAGTCGGACATCCCTTGAGGGGTCCCAGATTGGAGAGTGTGCAGGCTGGGCTGAGGGACACACACTCCTGTGCATGAATTTCATGCACTGGGCCTCTAGTATGTAATATTTTCAACAATAAAAAATTAAAAACAAAACAAAACAACAACAACAAAAATAAATAGAAAAGTCAATTTAAAAAAAAAAGAAAAGAAATTGGTCCAAGGGCCTTCTTGTTTATAATGCTAGGAAATTTCAGAATTCTGGAAGCAAAATGAAGAGATAAACTCAGAATATCTTTCACAGATAGATTTACATAAAAAATCTAGTAAGTTAGCCGAAACCGGTTTGGCTCAATGGATAGAGCGTCAGACTGTGGACTGAAAGGTCCCGGGTTCGATTCCGGTCAAGGGCATGTACCTTGGTTGCGGGCACATCCCCAGTAGGGGGTGTGCAAGAGGCAGCACATTTGATGATCCTCTCTCATCGATGTTTCTAACTCTCTATCTTTCTCTCTTCCTCTCTGTAAAAAATCAGTTAAAGAAAAATCTAGTACCGTAAGTTAGTTAAATGCACAGACAAATCTCTTGTATGCTGTTAGCTATTTTATAAAATAGGTTTTTGCCTTTTTTTTTAATTCAGTGAGACAGGAGCATCAAATTTCAAAACATTTGCTATTATATAAGAAACATGAACAGAATATCTTCAATTTAAAACCAAACCAATATACTTTTTAATCTATGTACAAAGTTTCTTTTGTTATTAAATAGAGCACTTAGGTAGAGGTTACATTTAACATTTACTGAGTGTTTTCTAACGCTAGTGATTTTAACACATACAGTGTTTCATTTAATCTGTGCAACTATTTTCACATTTATTTTTTTGAATTTTACAGATGAAGAAGATAATTATCTTCAAAAGAGATGTTAATTAATGCCGAAACCGGTTTGGCTCAGTGGATAGAGCATCAGTCTGCAGACTGAAGGGTCCCAGGTTTGATTCTGGTCAAGGGCATGTACGCTGGTTGCGGGCACATCCCCAGTTGGGGGCATGCAGGAGGCAGCTGACTGATGTTTCTCTCTCATCAATGTTTCTATCTCTATCCCTTCCTCTCTGTAAAAAATCAATAAAATATATTTTAAAAAATTAAAAAAAATAGATGTTAATTAATAATAAGTGGTGGAATGAATCTTCTACACTCAAAAGCCCAATTGCTTTTTAACTACTATTCCATGATGCCTACTTAAAATTGGGACAACTAGCTTACCTTGCAGAAAATTGCTGTAACAGTTACATTAAAATATGGCAACAGAAGAGCACAAAAGTATTTCCAGTAATGTACCCTCCTTACAAAGACTTGGGAAGATGCAAAGATAATGAATCAGAAAAGTCAGACATAAAAATTAGGTGACAAGACCAGAGTTGGCAAGTGGCACAGTGATGTTGGATTGTTACTGACACCTAGTGGCCTCACTGTTACAAAATAAAAAATAAAGGGAAGAGAGAGCTATGATAGAGCGGAGAGCTATGATATAAAATTCAAATGACTATATCAACCTATTTTTAGTGGTTACTGTGCTTTGAATTACTTTATGAACAATAGTGGGGTTTGATGCATGCTTTACCTCCACTGTGAACAATAATAAGTACTTGTAAATAAAAATCAAGGCTGAAAATATGCTTTTGGTGTCTTCTCTGGAATGTTCCTCTGCAACCTATGTTTATATGGGAATCAGTTCCTTAACTTTCATCACTTCTTTACCACAATCCAAGAAACTAAGTAGGTTGTGTTCACAGAAAAATTCTAGTAGTTATGCTAGAATCACTAGAGGTTCTCAATTAAGTTTCACTTAATTATAAAATTATGACTAGAATGTTCTTTGCAGTTTTTTACTTTTTAATGTTTTAACTTTTTATATTTCTTTCTTTTTTTATTGATTTTTTTTTTTTTAGAGAGGAGGAAAGGAGAGAGGGAGAGAGAGAGGGAGAGGGAGAAGAAGGGGAGGGGGGGGATTGGCTACCTCCCACATGCATCCCGACATGGGATTGAACCCAAAACCTGGGTATGTGCCCTGACTGGGAATTGAACTGGCAACTTTTTGGTATACAGGACGATGCTTCAAGCAACTGAGTCACACTGGCCAGAGTGTTCTTTGCACTTTAATGGTAAATGTTATGATGGCTACAAATGAGAAAAATCACTAATAGTCTGTGCAGTTAATTAAAATATCACATTTTACTAACACATGAAAAATATTTATCAGATGTAAACTTAGTACTTTGAACCAAATAAATATTATGTCATTGTATGGGTGGGTAAGCAGCTAAATATATCTTATTTATTCCCCAATATAGTAAGCTTGTTCAGGCATAAACTTAATATTTGGTTCAAAGATATAACACGACATGCAGAAGAGGAAAAGAAATCACACAGAACTGTAATCAAAATGTCAGTTTCTCTCTGGCCTGGTGGCTCAGTTGGTTGGAGCAGTGTGCCATGCACCAAAAGGTTTCAGGTTCCATTCCTGGTCAAGGCAAATACCTAGGTTGTGTGTTCAGTCTCCGGCCGGGATATGTATGGAAGGCAACTAATCAATGTTTATCTCTCACATCAATGTTTCTTTCTCTCCCTCTCTCTCTCTCCCCCCCCCTCCCCCGTCTTTCTAAAACTAAATAACAACTATCAAGTGAGAATTAAAAAAAAGGTTAGTGTGGAAAGTTAAGTTGATAGCCCAAGATGAAAACTTAAATTTACAATATATTATTGTTCACCTTTATTCAGAGCAGGGAGATGCCTGATAGGAATGATCCTTAGTTGCTCTGCTCATAAGCGAAAATTTCTTGGCCTCTCAGTGTCCTGAAACCTAAAGAACTAGGTTTCATTCATTTTTACTGCTCTTTGTGGGCTACTGTGCTTCCAGCAATTCCTGTAACTAGTATATGTTAATAGACAATGTAAACTTGGGAAAAATAATTTATTTATTTTTATTTTGTTTATTGTTTCAAGTATTATATATGTTGCCTTTTACCCAGATTGAGCCCCCCTGCCACTCCCACCCTGAGGGCAAGCTCCTACCATCCCAGTGTCTGTGTCTATTGGTTATGCTAATATGCTTCCATACAAATCCTTTGGTTGATCTCTAACCTCCGCCTTAACATATCTTAAATCTTAATTTATTCCCTGATATAGTAAGATTGTAGCAACCTATGATAGCTATTTTCGATGAATAACAAATAGAGCTGCAATATACAAATCAATAGAATACCAGTATTTATAATTCTCAATATGAGTGTTAAAAGTTGTGTAAATATGTTATATATGTAAAAGAGAGGCCTGGTGCATGAAATTCGTGCAAGGGAGGAGGGGTTGAGGGAGTCCCTCAGCCTGGCCTGCGCCCTCTTGCAATCCAGGACCCCTCAGGGGATGTCCACCTGCTGACAGGGGGATCAGGCCTAAGCTGGCAGGCAGATATCCCTCTCACTGTCCAGGATCCCTCTTGCAGTCCAGGACCTCTCGCTTCTTACTGCCTTGCCTGCTCGCTGCTTCTTACTGCTCAGCTAGCTGCTCCTTAGTGCTGCCATGGAGGCGGGAGAGACTCCAGCCACCACCACTGCGCCCACCAGCCATGAGCCCAGCTTCTGGCTGAGTGGCGCTCCCCCTGTGGAAACAAACTGACCACCAGGGGGCAGCTCCTACATTGAGCGTCTGACCCCTGGTGGTCAGTGTGCATCACAGCGACCAGTCCTTCCACCGGGTAGTTTTTCTATTTGCATATTAGGGTTTCATTATATAAGATTAAGATATATAGGAAGTAAAACATTCTTAAAATACATGCCATGCAGAATTATTTTAGTTACTGACAGTAAGATTAACATTTGTCCCAAACTTCAAATATGCTTCCATTACTAGATCTCTTAGAAATGTATTGCTATAAATTAAAAATATTTCTACAGTTGTCATTATATGGACTATAAAAAGCAAACACTTTAAATCCTTTAGAAAAATGTAATGGAAGTAAATGGAGCAAGGTATTAGATACTTACTGTAGTGTATTTTCTGACAGCAGAAATAAACAGAAACAAGAGGAGAAAAAGGCAGTGATATAACAAAAAATAAATGTTATAAAAGGAAAGAAAAATGTCAATGGAAAGGAAATACAGATTAAAGATGGACAGTATTTTGTGATGTACCTTGAAGCCAGTCTACACCTTCTTGCAATCCTTCTCCTTTTATGGCATCACTAGCACTGAAATAAAATCCACAAGAAACATATCTATTTCATTACATTGTAGAACTATAAGAACAAATAATTGCAAATTTTCCATATGGCAAATTAATATATTCTAGTAACACCTATCTGAGCAAAACTGGTTAAGCAATGAAACAAATGAACATAAAAAAAAGTCTGAGCATCTCAGAGCAACAAAATTATCCATAACTTACATTGACATAATTTTTATGACACTTGGAAAAGTGTACCAATAAAAAGTTATTATTTTAGGAACAGTACTCAGACTGACATTACTTTGAGTAATATTTCCAGTGGTGGAAAAGTTTTATAGAGTCCCCCTTCCTATATTACCCACCTCCAATGACTCAAGAGCAGTTACTTATTAGAAATGCTACCTTAGGTTGTAATTTAGCTACAGGATGCAGAGACTTTTTTGAAATGGAGTTTTATATCTATACAGTATAAACCTGTAATTATAACTTTGGTGAACTGGTAGAAAAAAAATCCCAATAGATTTCAATAATAGTTTTTTCTTATTGGCTGCAGGAACCTAAATAGGTCATTTAACTCTCCTGTCTTCAGTTTTAACATCTGTAAAATGGGGAGATATTATAATAGACCTCACAGAGTTATTAAGGAAATTGAATATTTGAGATATGTATTAATATATAAAACAGGGTTTTTTCATGGTCTTAGAAGATTAAATCCTTATTGTGATATTTTATAAACAATTATAATTAAATTTTAAATCAAAAGAATAAAATATAAAGGATTTATTGAGTATCAATATTTTCCAAGACATAGACTGATACTTTCTCATAACATTTTACTGATCTGGTAGATATTTCCTTTTAAAATATAATTGTATAATAGCCTTTAATATACATAATTAGATTTTCTGAATTAAGGTTTCTTTTAGTGTGCTGAAGCATGATTTTAAAATGTACTAAATAATCTAAAAGAGTTAATTTGATTATAATCAAAGAAGAAATTTCCTCTAAGAAATTACTTATTAGATTAAGAATATGATATATTTTAAAATAGGAAGACAGAAACAAACACCATGAGATACAAAATTATTCAAGCAAACTGTGGATTACCCATATCAATAGCAAAACATCCATAACTAAAATATTTATATTAAAAATATCAATGCATTGATTTTATCATACACCTATAGTCCCAAGTAAGATTATAGATTCAAATAAATATCATAATGAAGAAATCCCTCCCTTTTGGTGAGGAGTCACTCTCACCAAAGAAGGATAAATGTATTTTCAATTTTATACATGGTTTTAAAATATTGCAAAAAAACAAAAAAAACAAACTTAAAGCAATAATTAAAACTTAGCGAATAAAACCCTGCCTGCATCTTTTCTAACTAAGTTCCAACTGTTTGAATTTTACTTTCCTTTCAAATAAATGATAAGACCTGTAACTAAATAAAAGCAGTCTTCACCTCGTTCGGCAGGGCCCTAGATCTCTTGCTCCAGTCAGCTTGGACTTCTTGCTATTCCTGAAACACACCAGGTACATTCTCATCCAAGCCACTGCTGGCCGGTCTACCTGGAAAGCTATTCCTCCACTCCTCTGTGAACTGCTCCTGACTTCAGTTAGATTCCAGAGAGGGAGTATCTCTCATCATTTTTATCTTATTGTTCTATTTGTTTTTCTTCACCTTCCCAGCTGACATTTTATACATTTATTTACCTCTTTTATTCTCTCTCTTAAAAGGTAGTAAATAAGCAAAAATATACACATATCACATCAGGAATAGAGTTAAAGAACACACAGGAAGAACAATACTGCAATTAGATCCTGAAAATCAGAGTTGACTACATGTCTCTATAATCTTTTATTGCCAGTAAATTTAATTGTATGAAAGGCAAGAGAGATGCAATATTTTATCTCGACATCACTGTACATTAGTTTTATCTCTAAAATTGTAAAAGAAGGATTTTCAATTTTATACATGGCTTAAAAATATTGCAAAAAAAAAACTTAAACAAAGCAGTAATTAAAACTTAGTGAAATGTCCAGAAGTCAAAATTATAGGCAGATTTAAAGAAATAATTGGCATTCTTCTATAAATTATAAAGAAAACACAGCAACTAGAAATACAATGTTCCACATCTTTATAGCATCAGGATATTACTTTGTATCTCAATAAAAAATATTTAGATGTCACAAATGAATAAAATTTTTAAATCTCAAGGGCTAATTAGTTTAAGTAGAGATTTTTTCCACTTACAAAATTAACTTCTACTTCAAAATTAATGTAGGACTGCATCTTTTACTAATTAGACCCATGTTTTTGAATGTTATGCTTTCTATCAAAGCACTCACAATACTTTTAATACAATGGAAAAATAAAATTTATTCTATTCTAGACATTATCAATTTAGATGATTTACCTAAATGATAGAGAGAAATGCAAAGGTTATATTGTAAGATACTTCTCTACTCCCAAATCCCTCCTCTCTTTATCAACAAAATATCACAGAACCTCAAATTCCAAGTGAAGAAGTATTTAAGACACATTAACTTTTCTTTTGATTCCAGAGTAAGGAGGGTTTAACTGAGATATGCAGTGTTTCACTCCTGGGTAGAGGTTGTGAGCACTGAGGAGTTTCAAGAGTTTCCTCAGCTCTCTTCTATACCATTACTCTCTTAGCACCAAGGCTAGCTCTTCAAGTTCTTCTCTGAGCTCTACTAACTCGTCACTTCGTATTTTGTTTCTTCTTCTAAAGTCAGTGGATCCTCTGCCTCTGTGTGCAGTCTTTTTCCATAGATACTATCATAAAAAACGAGGATATCTGGCAGTGGTGTGGAGGTAGGTGGTGGATAGAGCGAGCTTAATGACAGGTAGTAGCAGACACTAAAAAACACTACCTAATGAACAATGTGAAATAAGTTCAGATATTATTTATGATTTCAACCTTATTAGTATGTTCAAACAAGGTATTTCCATTTACATTTATTCATATAAACAATATTTATTGTGAACCTACTAAGTACCATGTACTAATACTATTTCAGGGGTTACAGAGTGAAAATAAAACCCCAGTCTCATGGTGCTAATGCATTAGTGTAAGAAGAGAGACTATAAAACAAAGAAAAGAAGAAAAAGAGGTCACATGGCAACAGAAAAAGCAAAGTAATAAGGAAAAAAATGAGGCAGAGTATGGCAGAGTGATATTTTAGACAATTATCAGGGGAGGTCCCTCTCCTGAACAGAGTGAAATAGCAAGTCAAGAACATTATTTTGTAGAATGGTTTAGACAAATGGAGTAACAAGTGGAAATGCCTTGAAATGGGATTATAGTTGACTAATTCAATGTATAGAAGAAATCAGCATGGCTGAAGTTGGTGAGTGAGTAGTCTGTTTACTTTATTCTTTTAAAGAGTTATTTATATTTTTCTATCCCCCAAAAGATTTGAAAGGTTTTAACAGCAATAGGTTCATAAATACCTGCAATGCTATTCTATAAAACAAAATCCTTAGCTTAAATCCCACCAAGTTAGATCACTTATAAAATGAGTCTGGAAAAGAAACACTGAAGCTCGGAGATTTTTCAAAATGATAAAATAAAAAATAAAATCCACAACTTTACCAAATGTGCCATGGCTTATCTTTGATGTTCTCTAAACACAGCAACTGAGACACTTTTACAGATGTCACTGCATCTCTAAGGTCCATTTTGTTTGCAAAGAATAAGATTGGTATTCGGCGGTGCTTAATATCTGAAATATAAAAGAAGACTTCATCATACTTCCAGCCTTATGGTCATTTCCCCCTAATTCATTAAAATTAAAATTCACTGAAATTGTTTTCCAACCACTTCTTTCTATACCACACATACATAAACTTTTAAAGACATAAACTGTCAGGTATATTTGAGTGATACAAGAATTTAAAAATACTTCTTCCAAGCCTTCTGGTTGGAGTTTTAAAACAAAGACAAGAGAAGTGGATCTGGGGGCTCATTAAGCAGTTACTGAGCAGCACCTACAAAAGGGTCCCATTGTGTTATTTATTTATTTATTTATTTATTTATTTTTTCAGTCAACACAAAGGCAAACTAGAAGTAGGAGGAAGATGAACTGCATCCCAATTTTATTTTATTTATTTATTTATTTATTTTTTAAATATATTTTATTGATTTTTTTACAGAGAGGAAGGGAGAGAGATGAGAAACATTGACCAGCTGCCTCTTGCACACCCCTTACTGGGGATGTGCCCGCAACCAACGTACATGCCCCTGACCGGAATCGAACCTGGGACCTTTCAGTCCGCAGACCGATGCTCTACCACTGAGCTAAACCGGTTTCGGCCCAATTTTAGTTTTTAGTCACAGTATTGTAAGTAATAAATTAAATATTTAAAGAAGATATTTTTATTTGTTACAGTGTATGAAACATTTCTCCCTGTTTTGAATACATAATTCATTTAAATAGTTCAAAACTCAGAAGACACAAAATGGTGTGCAGTAAAAGGATCTCCCTTTCACCTTTGTCCCAGGCCATTCACTTGTCCTCCCTAGAAGAGGCAACACATAGCATCCATTATATGGAGTCCTTTTAGAAACATTATATATATTTGTAAATAGTTATTATATATGACTAGAGGCCCGGTGAATTAAATTTGTGCATGGGGGGTAGGGTGGCTAGGCCTGGCCAGTGATCAGGGCTGATCTGTGGGGCAACCAGTGGGGTGACTGGGGGACCCCTGCTGGCACCTACCTTGGCTGGCCTAGGGCCTGCAGGCTGGGGGCAGCTCCTGTGTTGAGCATCTGCCCACTGGTGGTCAGTGAGTGTTATAGTGACCAGTTGTTCCACTGTCCGGTCGATTTGCATATTAGGCTTTTATTATATAGAACTAGAGGCCTGGTGCATGAATTCATGCATGGGTGGAGTCCAGCAGCCCTGCCCCAATGGGGGCCTATAAAGCTGGGCCAGCAGCGGGGGAAGGGGCCATGGATGATTGGCCGGCTGGCCCTGCCCCTAATCAGGGTGTTGGGGCCGATCAGGGGCTGGGCCAGCAGGGAGGGGGGGAGCATCAGGGCCCCCAGATCAGGCTGGTTGGCTGCCACAGTGTGCATCATAGCCACCAGTTGTTCTGCCATTCCAGTTGCTGGGCTTTTATATCGTTATATATAGATTATTTATACAAATAGTAGCAGGCTATTCTCACTTTTTATACCTTTTGCTTTTCACTTAATTTCATATCTTGGAGACTATCCATTACCAGTACATATAGAACAGTTTCTTCATTATTTTAACTATTGTGGAATATTCTTTTAGTACTATATATCATAATTTATTTAACCAAATTCAACTGACATATGTTTATGTTGCTACCAATATTTACAACTACAAATAATGCTGTGATGAATAAACTGCAGAACATTTTGTAAATGGGGCAGCATGTCTGTTAGATAAATTTGAGAAATGGAATTACTGGGCCAAAGGATATATAAATTGCTATTCTGACAGAAAGCGATTACCTACAGAACTGCCTTTCCTTAAAAATTGTATCAATTCACACCTAAACAACATTGTATAAGAGTGTTTTCAGTAAAAAGTACTATGAGAATGTGTTTACTTACATTGTTCTGAGAAAAGTTAAGAATCTATATATTCAAAATGTTTATAATTCCTTCTTTATGAACAAGTTTGGCATATCATTTTTCTACTAGTTTTTATTTTCTTATTGAATTGTAGAAAAGGTTTAAGTAATAAGGAAATAAATCTTATAGCTATGACATGAAATACAAATAGTTTTTCTTGCCTGTCATTTGTCTTTGACTGCTTATGGTCCATTTTGCAATTAAAAACTTTTTATGGAGTCATAGCCATTGATTTTCTGTCTGTCTCTGTTTCTCTCTTTCTCTCTCTCTCTCTCTCACTCCCTCTCTCTCTCTGTTTCTCTCTTTCTCTCCCTTCTTCCACCCTCCTTCCTTCCTTTCTTTTGTGTGTGTGTGTGTAGGATTCTGGATTTTGTGTTATAGAAAGATCCTCCCTTGCTCCAAAATTATTTTTAAAAACCTCCCATAGTTTCTTCTGTAGAGAGCGCCTGGGAAGGCACATGGGCATTCTTCCTTAATGATTGTCAGCTGAACCCAAGCTGACAGGCAAGCAGCGTCTTGGTTACACATCTTACCAAAAAGGCAGATGTGTTCTCAGCATTGACTCTTCTCTTTGCCCAGGTGTCGGGCAGTGGGTTTTGATATGTAAATCCAGTAGCACTAGAAATGCTCAGGCATACTCAAAAACACAAATAGCCGAAACCGGTTTGGCTCAGTGAATAGAGCCTTGGCTTGGGGACTGAAGGGCCCCGGGTTCGATTCCGGTCAAGGGCATGTACCTTGGTTGCGGGCACATTCCCAGCAGGGGGGTGTGCAAGAGGCAGCTGATCGATCACTCTCTCTCATCGATGTTTCTAACTCGCTATCTCTCTCCCTTCCTCTCTGTACAAAATCAATAAAATATATTTAAAAAAAATTTTTTTAAAAAAAGAACACAAATAGTCTCCTTTGTCTTGACTTTTGGTGAAACTTCCTGGTATTTGGGGTATAAAATAAACATGCTGCACAGGCTCTGGGTCACTGTCTCTCCCTCAGAAGAGGGCAGCAGCACACCCCGTCCCAGCTTTTTCCTTCTATCTCTGTGTCTTGTCACTTTCTTTTATTTCTCAATCCCAGCCCCTCTACTCGAAGAACCGGATCCTCTCTTTTTCCGTGCAGAACACGGAAAAGAGAGACCCCGCCATATTCTTCTGCTGCTGTGATAGTGTAATTTTTACATTTCCATTAGTCCAGCTGGAACTTATTCTGGAGCAGAAAATGTCAGAATAGATTAAAAAAAAAAAGAAAGAAAGAAAAGAAAAAAGAAAGACATAACCACATGATGTTTATAAGAAACACAATTTGAACACACTAACAAGGTGAAAGTGAAAGGATGGAAACATGCATACTTGTAAGTGAATGAAAACTGGCCTGGATACACTACTATCAGATAAAGTAGCTTTAAAAGATAAAGGGCATCATCAAAGAAAAAGAAAGGCAGTAAAATTATAAAATGGTCAATTAATCAAGAAGACAAAACAATTTTAAGTATGTTTGTATCGAATAAACAACCTTCTAAACACCAAGTAAAATATGACAGTATTAAAGGGAAATACAACAAAATACACAATATAGATGCTTCAACACTCTTCTCTCAGAAATTGACAGAACAAATAAAAAATCAGTAAGAATGTGGAAGATATGAGCAACACTATCAACCATTACTTATAGAATATTTCACACAACAGAAAAACACACATTCTATTTAACTGCAGGTGAATTACAAGCCAAGTTAGACCGTATCTACTGGGCCATGTATTTTGAAGGGTGAAATCATACAGAACGTTGCTTGATCAAGTGGAATTAAATTAAAAATCTGTAACAAAATATACATACAAATTTCCCAACTATTTGGGAAATTAAATAATATACTACTAAAGATTCCAAGAGTCAAAGTAGAATTCACAAGGTAAGTTAGAAAATACTTTGACCTAGATAATAAAAAAAGTTATCGAAATTTGTGACATGAAGCTAAATCCTTAGAGAATATGTATTGCTTCAAATGCTTAAATTAGAAAAGTTATAAAATCGATGTTGTCCATTCCCATCTGAAAAAGAGACAATGAAACACAAGGGGAGTAGAGATAGTTCAACATAAATCAAGAGGAGAGAATAATGACAAAAGAGGAAATTTAAAATGCCAGAAGTTTTTAGAAAATTAATAAAACCAATAAACTTTTAAAAAAGATTGAACAAGAATAGGGAGGACACATAAATTACTAATACCAGGAATGAAAGAAGATATATCATATGGATCTTGTAGGCATTAAAAGGATAAGGAGAGGATGTTATAAATAATGTTATGCCAATAAATCTGACAACTTAGATAGTACATTAATAAAGCTGGTCACAAATTACCAAAACTGACCGAAGAATAAATATAACTTTAATGGTCTTATATCATTCAAGGACTTGAATTCATAATTCACGCCCCTCACTCCCTCAACACACACACCAAATACTGACAGTGGTATGTCAGTCATTGCTATATTCTAACTTTTAAGGAAGAAATGATAGGAATTCTACACAAATCCAAAAATAAAAAGAAGTATATATATTCTCCAACTCATTTTATGAAGCCTCTATAACTCTGATACAAAATCAGAAGAGGACATTACAAAAAAGAAAGTAAAACACCAAAACTTGTAGTCAGCAGCATTTTGGCATGACAGGATCTCCAGTTCTTTATCACTGAGGTGGGACAGCTATAATTCAACCAAGGATTCTCTGTTTAAAACACAAACATGTCTGAGAATTGTACACTGAGACAGCTGAAGGTGGACTATTTTAGCAAACAGTGGAGGCAGAATGGTAGGGAGAAGGACAGACAGAAGTAATGGGCAGCCAGGTGCTGGCTGTGGACCCCAGGGGGCATGATAGCAGTGAAGGGCTGGGGTGCAGTCCCAGTGGGCAGACCAGCCTCGAGGGCAGAGACAGCCATCAGTCCTTGGGCACACACTGAGGCTGAGCCCAGGTCAGAGAAACAATACAACAAAATCACTGTGCCTGAAGCCTGCCGGCACTGAACAAAGGACTCAGGAATCAGCCCACCCTACCAGCATGGCCCACCTGGCACTTTCATACTCAACTAGGCAAATGTCGAAAGAGCTGGAGAAA